CTTTAAAAAAAAAAAAAAAAAGAACTCAGAGTCAACAGAAGGAAAACAAACACCCTCCCCACATTTTAACAACCCATAATAAAAACATTCCCATGCATTTCCATATGCTAGGATTTACACCTGAGACTATCCTTTAGATTACTATCATGGAACTTCCTTATCTGTCCAAGTGTGGAAATAACAGGCAAAAGATCTGAAAAGACGTTTTACCTGTGAAGATATATGGAGACAAGTCAGCACATAAAAAGATCATACACATAATCTGTTATTAGGAAAACACACATTAAAAACACGAAATACCACTACAAACCTTAGTAGAATAGCTTTGATAAAAGCCACGGACAATACCAAGTCCTGACGGGGTACAGGCGCTCCCACAGACGCTGGGGAGAATGCACAGTAATACGAACCCGTCACAAATCCTCACAGGAAATTGAAGAGGAGGGAGAACACTTCCCAGCTGGTTCTGCTATGCCGGTTTACCCTGATCCCGCCAAAAACATCACCGGGAAACCACAGACTGATCTCTCTCATGAACATAGATGGCAACATTTTTAACAAAATATTAGCAAGTCAAATAGCAACATATAAAAAGGATGATACTCCACATGCAAGTGACACTGATCCCAGGAATACCGAGTGGGTTGTAAACCTGAAAATCAGTTATGTGATAGAACCTACTAAGAGAAAAAGGTCAAAAACTCTATGATCCTCTTTACTTCCACTGATTAAAGGTTACTGAAGAGCTTGGAAATGCTGTTATTTTATATTTGTCCCACAGCGTTCACTTTGTTCACTAACTGCTGCTCAAGAAATACTGAGTACGTTCTGCTAGGCACTGACACGGACACACAAAGACAAAATAATCCCGGGATTCAGTAAAAATGTCGCAAGTCTTACACACGGGTATGCAGTTAACAAGAAAAACCAACTCTGCCCCCGTACTCAGAAAAACAAAAAAAAGGACTGTCTCGTTCCTATTCTGAAGTCACAGAGGCAAATTTTAAACTGGCAACTAAAACTAAATCACACTGTGGTCGCCAATACGTCTGGAAATAATTTTATAGGAATACTGTGTCTACTCTTTCTTTTTCCTGACTACCTCTCTACAAAACATTACCACCTTTAAAACCCTCACGGTACAACAGTGTTTGCCATTCTTACTGAAAAACATCGGGGAGGTAGGAGAATCCCATACCTTGTGGGGTGCAAGAATCCTCTGCCTGAATTTTTCAACAGTTTCTTGACCCATAGAAGACCAAGCGTTGCCGAACGCTTCTGCTTTGTCTGGTCTGAGATGAAGGGCCTCTAACTGCTGCTGCAAAGTGGCCGGCTTCACGGTGTGATACACTGCCTATGCGAGAGGGGAAAAAGAGCACATGTAGCCCCAGTATTGGATTGTAACCAAATACAAAATTATCTTTAAATGATTTAAATCAAAAGAACAGCACCTATTTCTATTGTAGATTTTTTTTTTTTATTTTAGCAATAATGATACACACAACTGGAAGATGCAGGGCTAAAAGGCCTGAATTATTCAGGCTACCCTTCTCCATTTTTGCCTGTGTTTTAAGTAATCCTAAGACCACTTAATGGAAAAACTTCTTCTCTGCTTCAGCTATGGAAATGGTACCCTAATTAAAATATCATCTCCTTATTTCACTTAACGATTTCAAAGAAATGTCTCAGGGCACCTGAGTGGCTCAGTCGGTTAAGTATCTCCCTTGGGCTCCCAGGTCATGATCTCAGGGTCGTGGGCTCGAGCCCCGCATCGGGCTCCACGTTCAGCAGGGAGTCTGCTTAAGATTCGCTCTCCCTCTGCCCCCTCATGCTCTTTCTCTCTCTCCCAAATAAATAAATCTTTAAAACAAACAAACAAAAAACAAAGAAATGTACAACAAAAATTTTTCCAAGAAGCACTTTCTCAAAACTACCTTCATCTACCAACTTCCTAGGTAATATATAATAAAATCTTATAAACATTTCTAATAACATCTGTTCTTTCTTAACATCGTTCCGGAACAACTTTCTCGTAAACCCCATGTTGCTCTGTCCTACTTGATTATCCTTTATTACTACTGAAAACTCCCAGGGTTAAGAACAGTAGTCGCCATTATGATCTGTAATCTGTACAAGGCTGTTTGGAGTAGATGCCCGGGAGCTTGTCCTCCTACCAGTATCTGTTCACTAGAAGGCTCATGAAGCTACAGTACTATTTAAACTTTTATTTCACAAATATTCTACCAAGTCAACCTTCAGGAATTTACAGAGACCCTGTTTTAAGTGCAGCAATGTGCTAGGTTTATAGAAGATGAGCTAAAGATATGATAGGTCCCTCAAAAATTCAAAAGCTAGGGAAGGTTGACACACAGGAAATGATGAAAGACTAACGATGTGCTCCACTCTGATGAGCCAAGGATAAAAGGCATCCAAATTAGGGGAAGACTGCCAAGTGTAAGGGTCGTGGCGGCAGTGAAGGGAGATGGGACTTGAACAAAAACTTAATGCGTTGAACACAGACAAAAGCAAGGGAAGCAAAATGGTGGCTCAGTAGGAAGAACTAGCATGACAAAAGGCCTTTCGACAACTACTTCTCTTCTAAATGTTTTATTTATCATCCTAAAGAAATTCCCCAAAATCACTCATTAAAGTTCTTAAATAAAAGGTGTTTGTTTCTCCAACTTATCATACCAAGTAACAACGAATGAAAATGTTTTATACCCGTCTCAAGTCAATGAAGTCTTTTTTTTTTTTTAAGATTTTACTTATTTATTTGAGACAGAGAGAAAGAGAGAGCATGAGCAGGGGGAGGAGCAGAGGGAGAGGGAGAAGCAGACCCCTGGCTGAGCAGAGAGCCCAATGTGGGGCTCAGTCCCAGGACCCTGAGATCATGACCTGAGCTGAAGGCAGACGCTTAACCGACTGAGCCACCAGGTGCCCTCAAGTCAATGAAGTCTTGATTCATGCTGTCAAATACTTGACTCATGCTACTCAACATTCATATTCTTTTGAAGAATGCAATACTGTAGGGAAAAAACCATACATTCAATGTTTTTTTTTACTACATTAAAATTCTGAATTAGAATATATTCATAGCTTCCATCTGTATACTTTTTTTGAAGAAATAAAATGTTATAGCTATCATAGAAAGACTGTTCATGTCCTCATGTACACAATAAGCAGTAAACAAACCATGGTTAGGAAGTTTGGGGCACTCAGAATACCTGTTCTAAAATGAACGATATTATTTCAAGAACTAGGTGAAGATCTTGTTTCTCTAGAGAAAATGCAGCCTGAAGTTTTTCTTCTTCTTCTTCACTGAAACTGTTCTCAGCCTACAACATAAAAAGCAAGCTATTAGGACACGTTCAGGTATTCAAAACTTAAGACACTCGACACAAGAGTCCCTGAAGATTCATGTATTCATACATGGATGAGAAACTGAAAGAAAAAGTGAATCCAAGGTGAAAGAAACTGATGTGTTTGTAAATTTCAATATCTCAAAATCACAGTACAATTCGGTATTTGGATCATGCCAAATCAAGCTCATTGTAAATAAAAAAAATATTTTAAGTTCTATGATTTACAGGAGGTGGAAACTAATAGTAAATACCAAAAGAAATGGACATTTAGAAAAAACAATACTAGAAGATAAAACCCCAAAATGTTAACAATAATTAATACTAATGTCCATCTTCCTCAAATATATTTACTGAGTATTTACTATGTGCTACAGAGAAAGACTGTTCATGTCCTCATGTACACAATACTCTAGTTAGAAAGGCATCTAAAAACAAAGTTATTCAAGTAATTTTCATTTTGAGGAGTTCTGCAAAAATGTGGGTTATTACAAGAGCATCTATAAAGCAGGAAATTAAGTTTTTTTATAATTTTTATATTTTCCAAAACTTCCACATTATGCACGTTAATTTTATAACCAATATATCAAAGAAGATAGTTAGCCATCTGAGTAGAACCTCTGACTAGTCTTCTTTCTTTCATATCCAAAATAATCTCCTTGATCTAAAGACACTGGTTTTGGGGCGCCTGGGTGGCTCAGTCATTAAGCGTCTGCCTTTGGCTCAGGTCATGGTCCCAGGGTCCTGGGATCGAGCCCCGCATCGGGCTCCCTGCTCGGCGGGAAGCCTGCTTCTCCCTCTCCCACTCCCGCTGCTTGTGTTCCCTCTCTCGCTGTATCTCTCTCTGTCAAATAAATAAAATCTTTAAAAAAAAAAAAAAAAGACACTGGTTTTAAGTAGGAAAAATGTACACTACTAGAACAACTTTAAAATAAAAATAACTACTCTATCCACACATACTAAAAACACCTTTCCCTACGGCTGCCTCCGCCTAACAGCAATATGGAGAAATTTCAGAAGTTCCACAAGCCCCTGCCTTGACAGCTTAGGATGATGTACACCTACATGGCTGTTGAACCAAAGCAGCATCGGAACTTGAAGCTAGCATATTTTGGGAGGTCAGTCATCAGAACTAACAGCCCCTATTACCTGTTTTATGACTGAGAAAATCAGGAACCCAATTTGGCCAAAATGCTCATTCATGACTTACCTCAAGAGCAATGTTTTGACTTAAAAGTTTCAGAATTTCTTTGACTACCATACATCTTCTTGAAATAATGACCTATGGTACCAGAGTTTATCAATATGAGGAATATAATAACAGTATCACATACATATATATATATATATATATATATATATATATATATATATAAAATCACTGAACCACATGTTGCATTAAATTCAATGGGTATTTATAATTTAACTTCCAAGTTAGTCAATCTGATTCCTTTTAACATACATCAAATAAGCTGCTTTGACAAAATAGTAATAGTGATTGAGCAGGTAGAAAAATAAACTTCAGTGTCCCCAGTATATGTAAGGAAGGGAGATTTTTTAAAAAGATACCGCAAAAAAAAGAGAGAGAGAGACATTCTCAAGATTTTCAAGGGCATTATACTAATAAAGTGGTTTGGAGTGAAGTGGTAGAGGGAATATTTATCTTCCCCCATCCACTGGAATACCAGGCATGCAACCTTAAAATAAGGTGGAGCTTAAAATATGGGAGCAAAAGAGCAAACAGAGAATACAGCTATACACAAAATTCCAAACATACAGTCAACACCTTGCTCCAAAAACAACCTTGGGTAGATAAATACCTCTATTCGCTTCCACAAAAGCAGCAATTTCACTTATTTCTGTCTACCAAAAGCAACCCACACATATCTGGGAGTAAAAGAGAAGGTAAAAGAGACACATTCTTTTTTATCCTCTCAATGGGAAAAAATTAAGGCCCAGGTTTATAAAATTAGGGAGCATGTGTCCAAGAAACTTAAATTTTAAAATGAAAAATGAATGACTTTTTTCTACATGTTTAAAGAGAGTAGGCCATAAATATATATATACACACACAAGCAGAAATGAAAAACACATAAAGAATACAAGGTAGTACTGCAAGGATTCACATGAAATGATCTCTGATAAAAGCGGTAAGTGAAGGAGGTATATGAAAACATACAAACTACACATTTCTATGTGTACGGACGTGTGTATGCATATCTGTATTTATTAACACATGGAAAAAGATCTGCAATAAAAACCAAATTGGTAACAAAGGCTACCTCTGGGAAGGTGTGGTGGTTTTATGATAACTGAAAATTCTTTAGCACTCCTCCCTCCAAAAGATGGAGCCTAATTTCTTTCCCTGGAATATGATCCATACTTAGTGACTTCCTTCTAACAAGAATGTAGTAAATGTGAAGCTATACGGTATCCCAGGCGAGGTCATAGAAAGGACACACCTCCCTCTCTTGGATCACTGGTTCTGGAAGAAGCCAACCTCCAAATCAGGAGGAAAGGCTTAAGTAGCAAGGAACTGAGGCCTCCCACCAGGTAGTCATACTGAAAGGAAATCCTCCAACCCCAGCCAAACCTTCAGATTACAGTAGCCCAAACAACATCTGAGAGCAACCTCATGAGAACCCCGAACCAGAACCACCCAGTGGAGCCACTCCTAAATTCCTGACCTACAGGGACTATGAGTATAATAAATGTTTATTGTTTTAAGGTGCTATGTTTTGGGGTAATTTGTAATTCAGCAATAGATAACTAATACAGGGGAGAATTAAGATGGAAGGAGGGCCAAAGTTAACCAAGGGCGCATTTCAGTTTGCCATACTACTTAAATTTCTTATTTTTTTTTTTTTAAAGATTTTATGTATTTTTTGACAGAGAGAGACAGTGAGAGAGGGAACACAAGCAGGGGGAACGGGAGAGGGAAAAGCAGGTCTCCTGCGGAGCAGGGAGCCAAGCGTGGGGCTCCATCCCAGGACCCTGGGATCATGACCTGAGCCGAAGGCAGACGCTTAACGACTGAGCCACCCAGGTGCCCCACTACTTAAATTTCTTAAACAAAAACTTATTCATATAAACTATGAAATTTAAAACATGTTATTAAGATGATTAAATTAAGCAGTCTAAGAATTCTGAACTAGAAGGGCACAAAAAAAGCAAACTAAAAAAATCCATTGTTCCAACTTTTCTATTTTATTTTTTTTGAAGAATTCATTTTCTTAATACGCATGATGAGTGAACTAACCTTAGTTTCACATATAGTAGAAATCAGGTCCCATTCCTTAGAAAATGAGAAATGTCCTCTATTTTTTTTTTTTTAAAGATTTTATCTATTTATTTGAGAGAGAGAGAATGAGAGACAGAGAGCATGAGAGGGAGGAGGGTCAGAGGGAGAAGCAGACTCCCTGCCGAGCAGGGAGCCCGATGCGGGACTTGATCCTGGGACTCCAGGATCATGACCTGAGCCGAAGGCAGTCGCTTAACCAACTGAGCCACCCAGGCGCCCGAGGTTTTCCCTTGAATGTTTGTTTAGATTAGTGAATTGACAAGAGGGGCACAGTTACTTTCTTTCACAGTCAGCATAGCATTACTGAAGATAATGTGATTCTTCTAATAAGTCAAAAATATCCAGAGAGGTCCTAACTGGTCTCATTAGAACCCCAGGTAACTCGTAGGATCTGTGTGACACTTCACCCAATTTCCTCATTGTTCCAACAACACGCCAGCCCATTCTCAGCTCTGTGTCTAGGCTGGAGTCATTTCTCCCTTGTGATATGCTCTCAAACAGAAAAAGGACATTAGGTAAAAGTTAATACGTCCGAATAGAGTATGAATTTGAGTTAATAGTAATGTATCAGTATTGGTTTATTAATTGTAACAAATATGCCATAGTAATCCAAGATCTGGTATTTCAAAAACACAGTCCTTCCCCACGAAGAACTTACAAACTCAGGTGAACTTTATATAAAAAAAAAAAATAACAATAAAAAATAAAAAAAGACAATACAAAGTAGGAAAGAGTGCCATGATTGATGTGAACATGGGTCACAATACAAAGTAGAAAAGAGTGCCATGATTGATGTGAACATGGATACTCTGAGTCCACGGTGATACTCACCCTTTATCAAGCTATGTTTACTGTGTGCTCAGCACGGTGGTAAGCGCTGTTCGAGCATTATTTCATTGGGCCTCACAACAGTCCTGTAGGCAGGTCCATTTGCATAGGTGAGGAAACTCACAAAGAGAATTTGCATGACTTTCCCACGGTCACTCAGTGGTGGTGGGTAGAGCCAGGACCTGAACGCCAAGTGCGAATCCAGACCCGGCTCTTAACCACTGTCCTGCTGACAGTTCCATAAATGCTGAAGGTAGCAAGGAGCCTGACCTTCAAGAGGGCTCTCGCCAGACAGAGTGTGGCCAGCAGCATCAAAATACCAAGAGGAGGTCAAGCAAAATGATGATATAAAGGTCCTCAGGCTTGGGGCGCCTGGGTGGCTCAGTCAATTGAGCATCTGACTCTTGGTTTTGGCTCGGGTCAGGATCTCCGGATCGTGATCTCAGAGTCGTGGGATCAGCCCTGCATCAGGCGCCATGCTCAGAGGGGGTCTGCTTGGGATTCTCTCCCTCTCCTTGTGTCCCTCCCCCTGCTCATGCTCTCTCTCTCTAATTAATAAATCAATCTTTTTTTTTTTTTTAAAGAAAATGTCCTTGGGCTTTAACCACAGTGGGGTCCTTGGGAATCTTGGCAAGGGAAGTCTGGGGTGCATGGCGGTGGGGGGAGCCAATGACAAACACAGTGAGTTGACAAATGAATATGTGACAGACATGGATACACCAAGGGGCGTCTGGCTGGCTCAGTTGGTAGAGCATGTAACTCTTGATCTCAGAGCTGTGAGTTCAAGCCCCATGTTGGGGGTAGAGTTTACTTTAAAAAAATTTTTTAAATAAAAAAAATTAAAGAA